ACAAATGTAGTCTACCGTTTCTATGAGAGGGACACTTGTGAACATAGAGGAGTTACATCTAATAATAACATCTTTTTGATTTCTCACGTTCACTTCTCGTACTGCGTTAAAAACCTAAAAGATTCCAGTAATCTGTGCGGTGACAACTTCAGTCAGTCTCGAGAGGTTCGGCTAACGAAGGAGATATCGAGAAATAGGACGAACCGGACATATCGAAAAAACGCTGCATGGGGACGTTCAGTTTTTATATTCTGGGTAATCCGTAATGTCTGGAAATGATATATCCAGGATAATGGTTATCCCGAAAGCTTCATCAATAGACATTACGAATGATTCTCCGTTCCGGTGTTCTACTGTCCCTAAGAAAACCGTTTATGCAACGAGTGATGGCTAGATGATAACAGATGACTAACAGTTTATCCACAGAAAAGAACGATTAGCTTTAACTAATGGCAGAATTTAGCAGCCCAACTAGTTTAATACATGGAGCTAATGGTGACGCAAATCACCATTATGAACAGCCGAGAGTCGATAAAAACGATCTGAGTGACAAATTTGGGGTCAACCAATAGAATGCACGAATTCGGTGTTACATTCGACTCTGAAACGATTAGAATCAACGTGTTTCACGATAAATCACTACGGTTTATGGGATACACCGGATGCGATGGATTCGGAAAGAGACAGTTTTATTCCAGTGGACTCTTCTGAAAAATTGATATTGATGCTTTGGGTGCACAATGTATTATGAGATGCTGAGAAGTGACTGTGGCGAGAAACACACGCGAATATATAGACAAAGAAGGTGCGAATGAAATTGCGAGTATTGTTGTGCGACTGATGAATGACGCTTACGGGGATTCTCGAATTCGTCGGGGGTGATGCGCGCACCTATTCCGCGTTCCCGTTCCCTTACTGATAGATTGCAATTAGATTCAACACAAGCAGAATGTGAGGACGTGATAAAATTGAAATTTAAAAAACATCGAATCAATCATTTCAACGACGGAAAGCAGCTACAGAGGGGTGTCATACGTTACTGGATCACCAAAAACGTTTCACCGATAGTGAGTATCAACCAAACTGAATGCAAATGTAAATGTACATCGGAATTAGGCACCGGGTATCTGGGAGGTTTAAGGTCGAATGCCAGAGGAAATTGATGAATATGCAAGCCCTACCGAGGATATCCAAAATGGTTGAAATAGTAAAGAAATTACCTACGTTTCAGGTTTTCGGAAAGAAAAAAAACAGTTTCGAAAACGTATATCATTCTTCTGTGGTTTTCTCCAACAAATGGGAGTGTCACCGTGATAGTACAGCCATTTAAATCACAAAATATCAACTTGATTATCAGTGAGAAGCAACAAGAAAAGTGAATACCACTACGGAAATGCTGTGTCTATTGTGCGGTGATACCATATTATTTCACTTTACCGCGGCTGGCTCCTTGGAAAGGATTAGCCGGCCTCCATGAATGTCTCTGATTGCCACCGTAGAAGAAATGATCATGAAGTTACTTGGGAGTTTGGTACAAGAGACGTCCCCAGCGTCACTCAGCGTTTTTTTATCTTAAGGGCGAACCTCTAGCCTTTGCAAAACCAAGCGCAAACTGCAAGTCAGCAGAAAGTAATCCCTCGCCCCGGAAGTAAGGTGGCCAATGTCCTTAGTTTTAAAAGGCTAGTCACATCGACCTTTGTCACAACACCATCATTGAGTTTATGTGGCTTTTAAACAGGAGCCAGGTGACCAGTCCAAAACCCACCACACCCTGGTATTGCCGGCTCAGTTTGTTCGCGATTGCTTATTTGTTGCGGTATGCCGCAACTTATTCACAGCTAACCATCTTCAATGAGGTATCCCCCTATCTACAACCCGGGGAGAAACATGGTAGCATTCAGCTCTGCTTAATCCGTATTCATACCCGATATTATGCATCGAAACGCGAGTCATTGGGACACCGTGATTTTCATCGGATCCCTTCCTACAAAGCCTATTGCTGTGGGTTTCATTCATGGAAACGAATATGATATAACCCCACATCAGATGCAACACATCTGTGATAGTAATCATAAATGTTCATGCTTCTTTCAGTTGAATGTCTAATAAAGGCACGACTTCCCGATTTCGACGAAAGTGGCTGTCACATCAGTCAATAAACACCATGAAATTGATTGAAAAAAAATTACTCAGGCATCATACAGTTATTAATTTCATTTTGTCAACACGTGTACCTTTAAATGCGATGGAAATCTTTGTAATGACCAACGAAGAGCATTGGACAGATGTTTCGTCTTCTTTGGACTTTTCAGTAGTGCGTGCTTTTTTGTGTTCCTGTCAGGACTCGAACCGGGTAGGTCATCGTCACAAATATCACCGCACATGAATGCATTCAACTAGGGAGGAATTAACGATTTTTCGATGAATGAAACCCACAACCAAGATCAGCAACAATGCCTGGTATCTGTGAACAATCGAATGGGTTAATCTAAACACGATATCATAAATTGATTGAGCTACCCACATAAAATAGTGGCCGTCTACCGTGTAGCTCATGGGTAAGAAAGGGTTTGAAGTCCCAAATCGAAGGTTCGTGGTTCGAGTCCTGTCAGGGACAGAAAAAAGTACACCCTGCTGACTAGCAAGAAAAGGACGAAACAGCTGACCAGTACTCTTTGTCGTTCATCACAAACATCGTATACGTACAGAAACTTCCGTCCAATGAAATACCTCACTCGACCATCTTAAAATAAACTAGTGCCATGAATACCGGTACCTGGTGCATTGTGACATTGTTTGTTGAGACCGACCGTGCAGTGTGCCTGAAGACCTGTGGAAGCAGATGACGCTAGAGGCCAGTCAAACCGTAACTACGAATGCACCGACCAGCCTACAAGACAAGGTTTTCCACTGCGAATAGCGAGCCGTCAGCCTCATATTTCGCTTTTCTGACACCCAGAGCTTTGCTACAGGTGATCCGGATGAGGTGAAACAGCTTGCGGGATTTACCCTCGGCGGCAGAAAGTTCCGTATCTGATGTCTGGTGCCTGTGAAAAACCGAATGGGCGAATCCAAGCATTCATGGTCGAAACCCTGTATGCTCTCTAATATTTTGGTTTACTGGAGTCAGTTGTTTTTGCATGGAGTCCAAGAAGTTGGTAATCAAATTGCACTTACCAGTTGCCCCTAGTACATGCCACACCGAGGTCACTGACAAACAGTAACTTATACTTGTTTCCAACACACGGACGTTTTTTCGATTCCATTCAGATTCGAGTGGTTGGGTAACTGAATCAATGCAACTTTGAAGTATGCCGATCCAGAAACTGTATTAATGTGAAAATGTAATATATGCCGAGGATCAAAAAGAATTTTGTGCTAAACCTCGAGCGAGATTTGACACAGCTTCATTTGAAAAAGTATAGCTTTTTGCGAGAATGGTAGCTACCGAAGACCTACTTTATCAGTGTAACAAATTTAAGACTATCCAGAGTGCCACGTACGGGCCAACGAAAAATCGCTCAGTATTTATTTATCGCCCAACTCATGTGGCGGGACGAATATTTACTTCTTTTGACCGGTGAAATGGATTTCTTTGGAAAACTGGGCGAACGGATCGTTTTGCGCCACATGCTGCATTGCTCATCAACCAAACCCAAAGCCAAATGGACGGGTGGTGCGATTTGAATCTATTTGCAGAATCGGCAAGTGTCCTTCACTTTTGGGCGTTTGAAAACAGTTTCACATCAGCTGACCTCAACTGCAGTTCAAATTTAGTCATGATTTTTCGATCGTTCGAAGGATAGAATTGCGGTCAAACCATCCGGAAAATCCTCGGTATTGGTTATTTACAGCCGTCTTCATTTGAGACTGAATTTATTCATCGTTTTGCCTCGAGGTGGTCTATTTTCTTCATTTGTGTGGGCATCTCGGTGGAGAAATTCCCTAGATTAGGTGATAAATCTTCCTAATGCATAGGTCGAGGCAATTGCACAGTTAAGTAACTGATACCGCGGATATATGAGCCTATCAAATACGTTGCCTCTCGGCTTCACATGTAAACCCAAAATTATTAGATGCCTCAGTAGGTTTTTGAATAGTGAAATTATCCAACTGGCCCTACACCTCAATTTTGGCTTTGAAGGTCAATTTTTACGCTCACGTTACTGACGCGTACTCCATCAGCCGGAATTTTCGTATTGGTAAACCGACTTCTCATCAGTAGTACATAGTTTTAATGTGACTATCCACACTGTTCGCACAGATCGGGTTTGAGAATACGGATGGCTATAACCTCGACCAATTTCAGTAACTTTGTGTTTCTTGCATTCTAGATGACCTGAAGCGTCTTCGTCTCACGGTTATTATTATTATTATTATTATTATCCCACTGACTATAAACCAATCACCGTGACAGCAGTATGGACGTGTACATATATCGCGAAAAGACCATTGATACATTGTGCAAACCCATTTTTGTGACTTCTCCATTAAAATTTGTGAATGGAAAACAGTGTTTTCAATTTTTGTTTGTTTGTTCAAAGCACCTACAAGGTTATTGTGTTTTAATTGCAGTCTGCCCTATGCACTTTGTCTTATTGGGCAAGGGAGGTTAATAGAAAACCACAGTATTGTTCAAATTATTGTTTCCGCTCGCCTAACAGACTCAATCGGAAATAATATCTTGCATTTTGGGCGAGAGCACTTCACAGTCTATCTGACAACATGTTGAGTGGTAGTGTTTCTTTATAATATCCTCTACCTGATAGTAAATCCATCTCAAAGGAAAGAAACACACTACTCATTACAACTTGGGTTTATTGGCAAGCGAGCACCATTTGATCGGACCATTTGATAGTTGTGTTCATGATACAGTGTAGGGATTATGTTTGATGGCCTCATTCTATTGAGAAAGAAAAATTGCATAAGAATATTGGAGAAAACTTATTAAAGCAAAGCTAAACAATATAGGTGGTATATACTTTTAAAAATGAACTTACGTTTTCGGCGAGGAGTGCGAATGTGTGAAGTCTGCAGAGCCATGGAACGATCGGTGTCGATTGGGTGCACCCTGTTTCGGATCATCTAACAAATAGTCCAAATTCGGATACATCTCCATCTGGCGCTCATTCACCCACGCCTCCAATTCCTGCGTTCGTCGTGCCATGGCATTCAGTTCCACGCGGGAGGAGGCCGCTTGGCGAATCGCTTGATCGGCGTGTGTGAGCGCTTCATCAGCTCGCCTTTGGGCTTGCAATGCACGT